TGAAAACCTGAAACCAGTTTCAAATGCTTGCAAAAAATTACGATAAAGTTTAAAATTGTCCACGTTTTTTATATGTTTATATGTGAAAGTATAATATGTTATAAGTAGAAATGACGTGCTTTGAACTAAATAAGCTTTTTCTTAAAAATGATTGGTATGTACGTTTTTTAAAATATATGAAACTCATATATTAATAGCAATGCAGTTTTTAAAGAGTAAAACACGTTTTTTCAAAAATAAATAAATTATAAAATTCGTATTATGTTCACCCTTACATAAACGCTGTGAAATCTCTGAATTTTGTAAACTCTAGAAAATTGTGATTTAAATTGGACTTTATTGACTGAATTGACTGAATTGTAACTTTAAATCAAGAAATTTAAATTTTTTTTTATTTATATTATATACACATATATAAATATATATAGTTTCAAAATNAAATAAATAAATTATAAAATTCGTATTATGTTCACCCTTACATAAACGCTGTGAAATCTCTGAATTTTGTAAACTCTAGAAAATTGTGATTTAAATTGGCTAATAATTGTAACTTTAAATCAAGGATTTAGCGCTTGACTTTCATTCCCACTCATAACTTTATTATCACAAAGGGTTAAGCATAAAACTTAAATATAGCTCGTTTTACCCTCTTTTGTATTGGTACCAGAAATGTAAAAATTTTTTTTATTTATATGATATACATATATATAAATATATATAGTTTCAAAATGAAGATAAAACAAAGGAAAATTACAGACATATGAAAAAAGNAAAGGGGGGGGGGGAGAGAAAATAATAAAAAATAACAAACAACTGGGGAAAAAATTAAAAAAATGATAATTTTTTTTTAAAAAAACCGGAAAATAAAAGATATAATCTTTTCATCAGCCCACACGATTATATCCGCAAAAAAGAGTGCTTTCTGATATTGTATCAATGTAGCCAAAGCAAAATATATTAATACAATAGTGTGAGGAGGATTCAAAAAAAATTTTTACAAAAATTACAACAAATAAAATAGAACACAAAATGTAAAAATAACGCGTAAAAACAGAAAATAAAATAAAAGGAAAAACAGAATAAAACATAGATGAAATATAAGTTTCATCTATAAAGCGAGCAGCGAATTCAAATGTACTTAACATAGACGGGAAATTTTTCAAGAATGATTTAAAAAATATTTTCGTAACAAGATTGCCAGATTGCAAAATACGAAAACAAAAGCGCAAATATATATATATATTATTCCTGTATTGTACATATGCGTATGTGTTCTTAATTAAATACAACACTCTTTAAACCTAACATAGAATAAATATTTAATCATACAAACTGTCAGCAAATACATAAAACGATAAGTAATGGTGTTGCCAAGACAAGAAAGGTAAAAGTAGTAAACTAAAAGGTTATGCACTTACGCCCGGAACAATTGATAACTTAAACAGTCGAAAAATTTATTTACATAATTTATTTGAAATAAAAAAAATATTTAAAAATATCGCAATTATGAAGGCTAGTCATTTTCTTCTCCTAATACACATGTCATTTTTGTATCTTCAATTCTAGTATTTTGTTATTACATAATATTAGGTAACTTGCTCAAACAGCGAATTTTTAATATGCTCGTTGCATCGAATTCACTTTTAAAACGATCGTTTTAAAAAACGGTACTTGCTCAGGTAACTTGCTTAAATAGCGAATTCTTAACATGCTCGTTGCATCGAATTCACTTCTTAAAACGATCATTTTAAAAAAACGGAACCTTATGAAAGGGTTTTGTTAGAGAAGGGCCAACTGCAAGTAGCCAAAAACTAAACTAATGAATGTTAAGGTAATGAATGAATGTTAAAATAATGAATGGTATCTCTCTTAAAAAGAATTCTGAAGTGAGTGTCCTAATTATAGCGACAGGTTTGAAACAAAAGGGAATGTTACCTTCCTTTTGACCTTGGCCTACTTTCTTTCCTCCCCGCGAAATTGTTTCGAGTAGAATAAATTTTATTCTCTTTTACGAGCACAAAGAAATGAATGCTCTGCAGATTTGAGAAAAAATATCTGTTTACCCTGCATTGATCTTCCGCATTCAGATATCGGGAATATCAATCGATTCACAAACATATGTCCATTAATTTATTCTAAATGCGAAACTTACCTTTTCGATTTGTTTAAAAAATAATGCTCTAAAAAATATGCAATTTTTAATTCAAATAAATTATCAGTATTAATATAAAATGGAATTACGATCAGTTTGATGATGTTAAAACATAAATTCAATAAATAATTGAAAAATTTATTAAAGAGAAGGAAAAAAAAAACGGAGAGCATTGTATACACTCATTTTTGTGTATATGTTACTGTGAATGACAGAAATGGGCAATTGTTGACTTCCACCGGTAAATGTAGACAATCGCATAGTCGCTTTGGTCAACGTTCGAAATATAAACTAGGTCTAGTTAAGGGCCACTGCCCGGTATACATTTGCCCGGTATGCCCTACAGGAATGTTTTTTAAAGGATTAGTGCCTCCTGAACATTGATATTTCTCCTATTCTCTCCTCAGCAGATATTAAAATATCGAATAAATATAATAATATCGTCGAATAAATTAATATCAAATCAGATATGGCAAATATATATTATATTTCTTAGAGCCGGGTTAGCCTGGTCGGTAGGGCGTTCGTGGGTTCGAACCCCGACGGCCGAAGACTGTAGTAAAGTGACTGATGCATGTTAAATCTGTCGAGTCGCGAAAGTCCTCCATATTCCCATAACAAATCAATACCTCTGGGGGTACTGGATTGGAGATCGATCGTTTTCTGATTCAGGCCAAAATTACGATCTGTGGATGAATGAATGGGTTCGCCCTGTAAACGGGTGTGACGTATGGTGTGGCAGAAGTCGAATTCTTGGCCATAGATAGCGCCACTGGAAAACCAGAACAATCGAACCCCCTCTGCCCAAATAGGCATACGTCAACAACAACAACAACAACATTAAATTTCTTAAAAATAATAATCTGTTGATAAAAAAATTATCACAACACAATGGGTGTAGTTATTCGAATTCAGAAAGCTGCATAAAAATTCTAAGAATTTTGTTAAATAGTATAAAATTGGGTAAATTTCCTTTTATGAAATTTGAATTAATACTTATACTTGAGTTGTTTTTTAAGTAAATACCTGATTTCATTAGAATAAATATTCAATGACTCGAAATTCGGGCGTAATTCGTTTTCGAATCAAATTTGACGTAAATTCATACAATGTTCTTTGCTTTAAGTGGTGTTTTTTTTTCTGGCGACTTTTTTCAAAAGCTCTTTTTTTTCCGGTTCTTTACGGTATTTTTTTTCTTCTTCTGTTTACCATTTGCTACTGTGAGAATGATCAAGATGATACTTTAAATGATAAGAGTACCTTATTTTAAAGGATGTAATATGTGACCGGCAAAGTTTGAAATCCGGCATTCTATAGAATGCCTAGGCATTGTATATGATACCAAAGACTAGCCGGCAATGCATGAAACGATATATATTTCACACATTTCCTAGACATTCTATAGAATGCCAAATGAAAAACCGGCAAAGTATAAAATCTTCTGTGGCCATGCTAGTAAGGGTGACGAAATGGATATTTTGTGCAATATTTGCTTTCAAACTGAAAATAATTGTGACTTAAATGTGAATTTTTTATACGAACATTTTGTTTCCCTTAACACTAGATTGCATAAGGATGTCATTTTGACTGCTTTCAATTTCAATTAGAAAAACAACGACACAATTTCTCAGAATTTCGTACAACATATAATTTTTTTATTGTTAATATTAACTTATAACTTGTTATATAACTGTAAATAATGTAAATAATATAAAAAACAAAATAAATGCTTTGGGGCAATATAGGTATATACTAAGTTTCAGTATTTCTAGTGTTAATAAGAAAAACATAAATTATGTTTTGTACAACTTTCATTTTTCTTTACACATTTTGAATAAATTTTTTTAATGGCACTCTCATTATTATTTTGGGATAACATTTTAATTTTTGAGAAATGCGCATCATTTACATAATAACCTCATCAGGACGTTATTTGTCCTACTTTGCCTAAATAGCATTTGTCATTCTATAGAATACCTAGGTATTATACACAATGCCTAGGGAAAGTATCTAATACTTCTCATATTTCATACCTTGCCTAAAAACATCCGGCATTGTATACAATACCTAGGCATTTTATAGAATGCCGGCGTTTCATACTTTGCCGGTAACATATATATCAAGATGGGTACTTTAGATTAGGTATGAATTTAATATGTACTGTATTTTGAACTAGAGTTTTTCTATACAGTATATTTGTTAATGTGAATGATTGAAATAGATGGTTGTTGATTTCCACCAGTGAATGTTGATAATTGCATACTCGCTCTGGTATACGTCACAAATATAGACTAGGTCTAGTGAAGTGCCCGGTATGCCCTACATAAGTGTTTTCTTTCAAGTTCAAGTGCCGCTAGCCAGCATGCATTTAACCTGTACTCCGAACACTGATATTTCTCCTAATATATCCTCAGCGGATATTAAAATATCGAATAAATATAATATAATCATCGAATGAATTGATATCAAATCAGATATGATAAATATTTCGTGTCATTCACAAGTAAAAGTCGACATTCTGTTGATCTCGGTCATTCCCAGTTTCATATACAAGGTTATTCATAATTCCCTCTGGAGTTACGAAGCGTTATAGTAGAAAAATGAAGACAAATATGGCAAAAAAGAACCTATGAAATTATTCCGGATGTATTCAAGTTTTTATTTAAGCAGTTTGCCGGTAGATGGCAGTAACATGTACCACTGAAGCCAGCTGTAGTAAACATAAAAGCTGTAGTAGACAGAGAGAATTATGAATAACCAATATGCTCTCGACTTTTATAATGATATTTATTTATTATACATTTCAGTTATATGAATGATTTCATTTTTCTTCTTTTTTTTCTTTCAGGACAAAATTCGTCTGCTTCAAGAGGATTTGGAATTCGAAAGGGAACTCCGACAAAGAGTAAACTCTATACTATTCTATTTATTCTATTCTATTTATTTTATTCTATTTATTCTATTCTATTCATCCTATTCTGATTATTCTATTTATTCTATTCCAATTATTCTATTCTATTTATTCTAATTATTCCATTTATTCTTTTCTATTTATTCTATTCTACTCATTCTATTCTATTCATTCTATTCTACTCATTCTGTTCTATTCATTCTATTCTATTTATTCTATTCTATTCTAATTATTCTATTCTATTCTAATTATTATATTTATTCTATTCTAATTATTCTATTATTCTATTTATTTTATTCTAATTATTCTATTCTATTTATTCTATTCTATTTGTTCTATTCATTCTATTCTATTTATTCNATCACATTTATTGTATTCTATTTATTCTATTCTAATTATTCTATTTATTCTAATACTTCTATTTATTGTATTCTATTTATTCTATTCTATTCTAATTATTCTATTCTGTTCTATTCTATTCTAATAATTCTATTTATTCTATTCTATTCTAACTATTCTATTCTGTTCTATTCCATTGTAATTATTCTATTCTATTCTAATTATTCTATTCTGTTCTATTCCATTGTAATTATTCTATTCTATTCTATTCTATTCTCGATTTTATTCAATTTGATAACTCGGATAAATGCCGATTTATTTATGAATGCTAATTTCATTTTGGTCATTATTTCTTTCACTATGTGAATGATAAAACATACAATCACTGGAACGATTTAGATCATTTCTATATTTGTTTTTTAACATTGTATTCTTTATGTGTTTTAAGATATTGTAAAGTGAAAACCTCAAAGCAATTTATCTATCATTATAAGCACATAATGTCAAATACAATGTGTCTCTATAGGTTACTACGCATGTATATATATAATAAATGTGTTGAACAGCGTTAAAATGAAGAAATTTGAAGGGTATTTATAAAGTCCCGGACCCATTTTGATGTTTAATAACTCATAAAATAATAAAGATAGATTAAAATTAATAACATAAATGGTTAGATAGAATCAAAAAGTTTCATGACCCTTGTCAATGAACTTCCACGTGTGGATGGAGGAACTGTTTGGGAAATTCTTCTGCAATTTCTCTGTGCTTGCACTATCGATTTCGTTTCTATGAACCACCATAAAATCTGTGCTTTCTCTTGTGGTGTATGCATTCTCCTTAATATCCGCTNATTCTATTCTATTCTATTCTCGATTTTATTCAATTTGATAACTCGGATAAATGCCGATTTATTTATGAATGCTAATTTCATTTTGGTCATTATTTCTTTCACTATGTGAATGATAAAACATACAATCACTGGAACGATTTAGATCATTTCTATATTTGTTTTTTAACATTGTATTCTTTATGTGTTTTAAGATATTGTAAAGTGAAAACCTCAAAGCAATTTATCTATCATTATAAGCACATAATGTCAAATACAATGTGTCTCTAGTTGAACAGCGTTAAAATGAAGAAATTCGAAGGGTGTTTATAAAGTCCCGGACCCATTTTGATGTTTAATAACTTATAAAATAATAAAGATAGATTGATAACATAAATGGTTAGATAGACTCAAAAAGTTTCATGACCTTTTTCAATGAACTTCCACGTGTGGATGGAGAATCTTTTTGGAAAATTCTTCTGCAATTTCTCTGTATTTGCACTATCGATTTCGTTTCTATGAACCACCATAAATTCTGTGCTTTCTCTTGTGGTGTATGCATTCTCTTTAATATCCGCTCAAATATAACATCACATGGAAAAGTACTACATAGAACAAACAAATCAAAAGTAAACATAACATTGCAATAGTTGCCAAAAACAAAAGAGAGAAAAGTGCAATTAATAAGCAGACGATATTTAGAAAAGTACAGATATTTAGACTGGAAAATAAAATTATCTGAAATTAACCACACGAGCAGACGATATTTACAAAAGTAAAGATATTCAAACCTGAAAAGGAAAATAATATGAGTTATTCCATCAATAAATGCCATAAGTTTGTTTATATCTCCATTATTTTACGAGTTATTAAACATCAAAATGGGTCCGAGAATTTATGAACACCCTGTATTGAGTATTACAACATAGCCCGATATCTTATGTTAAAATTGACCCATAATATTCAAATTGGACCACGTATTATATTGCCGGGCACTAATCTACCCTACCTGAGGGAATCATTATAGGCTTAATAGGGGGTTCACAATGTGGTCCTATAGGTTACTATGTATGTTTATATGTAATGGTGTGTTGAATAGTGTTAAAATGAGGAAATTCGAACCAAGATCTCGGATTTTTCCTTGAAAAAAGTTAGAACATTTCATCATTCAATAATTTCATACGAATGACTATTAAAACAGTTTGCTTTATAATTTATTTATTTCTGAATTACCAGGTTGTTAACTATAAATATTCTATCAAATACTTACGTAAATTGTAAATGTACAAGGTTCCAAAAAAGAAAAGGAAAAAAAATACTAGGCTTACATTAAATACCAGGTACTAAATACTAGGTACAAAATACTAAGTAACTAATACTAATTAAATACTAGGTAAAATTTAACCCCTATGAAATGGTGTCTCAAATAAATGATTATCAAAATTATTTGTTTGGCTGTGAAAAATATTTCACAATGTAAAAGCATTAGTATTTCATGCTCGGAAATAATAGGTTAAGATCGAACAGTGGGTTAAGATCGAACTGTGGGTTAAGATCGAACTGTGGGTTAAGATCGAACTGTGGGGTAGATCCGGGTAAATCGTTTCTGGTGAAATGTGTTCTCTTTATAAAGGATAAACTCTAAATTACTTTCTACTATTGCTTGCCTAAAAACTTTACTCCCTTCAAAAATATATTCATTGAGAATAATATCCGACATGTTTCAAGCGCTCGAAAACAGACACCCATTTTCAAGACTTGCCAGACGTGAATGAAAAAAAAAGTGATTTGAAGTATAAAACGTTTACGATACGTTTGTCTTTGTAGACAGTGATACTGATTTTCAAGATCTGGCCCACTCGGTTGCCCCCAACTTTCAGAGGCTGAACTTAACTTTAATTTACCTTTTTTAGATGTTCTTACCCTGCCTTGATTATGTTCCATCTCTGTTTATCATGTTATAACCACCGTTGAACAGCAGATCCAATTTCGGGATTACGACCACTAATGTTCAACTCCGTAGCCTTGTCATTTTCAACCCAATACAGAAGACAAGGGAACTCATGGATTTGGTGAAATATTGGGTGGAATTTTGCCTTCGTGGAGGACTTTTTGAGAGAACTCACTCGCATTTGCTTCACATGGAGAGGAAAACCACGAACATATTTCATGGTTAGCCTGACGGAAAGGGGACTCATGATCCGTCTACCATTGTGGATATTTTTAGGCCAGCACTATGTTCGGTGCCAGCCGGATTCGTATCGACCATTATAAATCCTAGAATTTTTTAATTTTATTATTTAATTTCTTGAATTTTTAAAGCTAAACTATCATAACAAATTAATACCTTTTAAAAACTCTTACAATTAAAATGGATGTATAGAATTATATCTGAAATATTTTCGTTACATTATTTATCGCTCCATAGAGTTGTCAATTTATAAAAACGACAACCATTCGTCACAAGGTTTAATCATTAATAAGTGATTAAAATTACAAATTAGCGAAAGAGATTATGTATTTTAAGAATTCGCGCTTAGTAAATCTCTAAATTGTATACTTAATCGTTAATGAAAAAACGTTTTTAATTATTAGAAAAGTTGCTTGTTATGTATTTATTGTGCGTGACGATTCATGAAAAATTGACAATTTATAAAAACGAAATATAACTGTATAAGATAATCAAAAGAGAACAAGACAAATTTTGTTTCTTATATAAATTATAGTGGTTCTTATTGTAAAAATTATTTTTGAATGAAATCTTTTAATATATATATACAGTTGAACCTCGCTAACTCGAACCTCGATTTCACGAATTTTCCGATAGCTCGAAGAAAAAAAAATTCCCTTCAAATTTCCTTTACACTCAACGTTAAAAAAACCTTGATTTCTCAAAATTTTTTTTTCTAATCCCTCGATAACTAGAATTTTTTCCCCATAAATAGTGGATTTTTTCTTCTTCTGAAAATAAAAAAATATTCCAAAAAAATTTTAAGAATAGAAAGCCAATTCTCATAATCACAACCAATTCTCAAACAAGCACTTTCTGCAGTGGACACTGTAAGGAGATTTACTGAGAGGCAGCCGAATATGTCAGAGGAGACATTTAAAGCTATAGTCCACTTAGAAAGTGTTACAAACAAACTTTCTTACACATCTCTAAGGCAAACAACAATTGAATTTTTTTTAATGTAAAAAGTGTTTTTTGAATAAATATGGAATAGTGAATAAGGTATGTAAAGAACATATTTCTTTGTTCTACCATCGATAACATGCGATTTTCGATAATTCGAATTTTCGGTATATTGAATTTTTTCTCCTCTCCCTTCAAGTTCGAGATATCGAGTTTTGACTGTATATATATATATAATATATTAATTTCATTATTATTATCCTATGGAAGAGGAGGAAGTAAGGAAAAAAATTAAAACTTTATCAGAAACGCTATCGAATCACTACTGAGGAACACGGAATGAAAAGCATTGAAACTTGTTTCATTGCTGGAGGAAACCTGGAGTAGGTAAAATGTGACTATTTCTAAAGACTTCAAGCAGAAAATCAAAACGATCTTGATTATTTTCATTTCTTCTTTCCTGTTAGTGAATGGACGGAGTTCGGCAGCGTTTTTGTTTTATTTCCCGTAGTTTAATTATTAATTTAAGTAACCCAGATGAGCATTTCTTTTATTTTTGAAAAGTATTCTAAAATCGTTTATTGAGAGTGGCTATTACGGAGTCTTCTGTAACTTCGGGTTTTTATTTGTAAATCAAAATCGAAAATTTGAGAAAAAATTAGCAGTTTTTTTTAAAAATTTATGTCTCGAGTCGTGGTGGCTCAGGGGATAGAGCGTTCACCTCCCAATGAGGCAAACCAGGTTTGAATTTCTGAGATGGCTGCACCCGGCTCGTAGGTTGACACAAAATATCCTCAGGGTTTGATTCCCCTTGTCGTTAAGCTAACCATGGGAGGTTTTCCTTTCTATGTGACGCAAAATCGTGATAGTTTCATGAAATAGTCCTCCATGAGGACACATTTCTCTCAATGCTTAATCCAGGAGTGCTCTTGTCTTCTGTAATGGGTTGAAAATTCAAATCTATGTATCGACACTGAACATTCCATTTACAGAAGAGTGTGCTGTGGTCAAATCTTCTCTGTTGCTAAGCAGCTTTAAAGAGTATAGTAGAACAGATCTAATTCATACCAGCGCAAGAAGAAATTTCCTCCAAGCAACGTAGAGTGTTCCCTTATCAAACTAAAAAAATTTACTAAAAATATGAATTTGCACCTTGCAATAGTATCGAACTTGTTGTTTGTTTTCGAAAAATTTATGGGAAAAGCACGAATCTCTCAGCTATTTCTGAATTTTGAAGCGACTCATATTTTGTGATGCCTGTTTCAATGACTTCGATGTCATAATTTAAACCTTTTCTTAGTGTTTTGCTCTCCTATATTATTAAATAAAAATTCGTTAAATACAAATATGAAGGTGCATTTCGACATTTTTTTCTCAATTATATCATATAAAAAGCAGTTTCCAACTCTGATATGTATTCCAGACATTTTCACCCATTCATCGTCTTCACAGAGTTGCAAAGTTTGTATTAGTATTGAAAAACATATAATGTATGTTTATTTAGTGTTACATTTTATTTTCTCAAAATCCCGCGAAGTTTGTCTTGAAAAATTTCAGAATTCTATCACCAATTTTAGCGCAAAGGCTGACTTCATAACTATTATTGGATATTTACGAAATTTGGCTTTGAGATAGTGCAGAACTGTTTTATAGTGGTAATATTTGATCACTGGATTAAAAGTTATTAAAGTAAGACTAAAGAAAGAATGTTATTGTTTCAGATCGAACGCGAGAAATCCGACTTAACTGTCCACTTGATGCAGTTGACTGAAAGACTGGATGAAGCAGAAGGTTCTTCAGAATCACAGGTCAGTCATTTTTGGATCGTTATGTATATATATATATATATATATATATATATATATATATATATATATATATATATATATATATATATATATATATATATATATATATATATATATATATATATATATATATATATATATATATATATATANCGGTGAATGTCAACAATCACATAGTCGCTTTGGTGAATGTCCGAAATATTTGTTATATCCAATTTTATATTAATATATTCGTTAATATTATATTTATTTTATATATTTTTATTTATTCTATATTTTAATACTTACTGACGATAGATTAGAAGAAGCATCAGTGTTTGGAGTATCGGGCAAATATATAACGGGCAATGGCACTTGACTTTAAAAAAACATCAGTGTAGGGCATACCGGGCAAATGTGTACCGGGCAGTGGCACTGAACCTTAAAATAACATCAGTGTAGGATTAAAATATCGAATAAATGTAATTATATCCACGAATAAATTCATATCAAATCGAAAGTAATAAATATTTCGGACATTCACCAACCCATATCTGTGATCGTCGACATACACCAGTGAGGGTCCGAATGTACAGGAATGTAATGAAATATTCGATCTTTCACAGCCGTATTTGGCGTTTGTCGACATTCACCGGTGAAAATCAACAACCACCGATTTCGGCCTTTTGCCGTGACATTTTATATATTTATATGTATGACATATGTCATACTTATCATTTTTTAGCGTGTTTTTTGTATTTATTTAATATGCTTTATATATGTGTGTGTGTGTTACCATGAATGATCGAAATCAAGAGAATGTCGACATTTACCGACGAATGTCAACAATCACACAGGGTGAATGTCCTAAATATTTGCTATATCTGATTTGATATTAATTTATTCGTTGATATTATTATATTTATATCTGCTGATATATTACATCTGCTGAGGATTGATTAGGACAAACAGCAGTGTACGGAATACCTGTTACTGTTCAGTGGCACTTGACCTTAAAGAGCATTGATGTAGGGCATACCGGCCAATGTATACCGAGCAATTGCACTTAACTAGACATTCACCGAAGCTATTAATGTGATTGTCAACATTCACCGTTGGAAGTCTACAATCACGCGTTTCCGTCATTCACATTAACACATTCACCGCAAGTAAATATTCTTTTGAATGTAAGTAGATGTCTTTTGAAGACGGATTAATATGCAGAGTTTAATTTTAATGCTTGTGGAAGCGAACTTTTAATTCTGATTTTTCTTAATAGAATATAATAAAATTATGTATTTATTATTATTATTAATGTATATAAGGTAGCGATTAACAATGTTTTCTCAGGAGCTTAATTCTGTGATAAGTTAAAAATATTGACAAAAATTATAAAGTTTTTTTAATGCAGTTTTTTCAAAAAAAATAACCTCTTCATAAAGCATCATCATAGCACAATGGGTTTAGTTATTGGAGTTCAGAAAACTGTTTAAAATTCCTTAAAAATTTCGTGAAGTAGTATAAAATATGTGAAGTTCCTTTTATGAACTTTAAGTTAATGCTTGTACTTGAATTATTTTAAGAAAATATTTTAAGCTATCTTATTAGTTATGTTTGTTATTTAGTTGTTATCTTTGTAGTTTTCTTGCGTATTTTTTTTAATTCGCTTAATATCTGTAATCTTATAAATGAAAGAACTTGTGAAGAACTATTGTTAAAGTAATTTGTTGACAAAGTTGTTGAGATCGCTCGATTTCCATACCAACTGCATGTGACGGTGGTTAGCAGCATTTCTTAAAGGCAGTTCATGGCCATTAAAACAGTTTGATAGAAATATTTTTGACTGAATTTATCTGATCAACCAACGATTAGTTTTATAGTCAAAACGTTTACAAAATGTCTTCATTGACGAAATTCACTTTTTAGGATTAAAAAACAATTTTATTATATGAAATATGTATATATATATATATTTACAATCGGACCTCTATTTAGCGAAGTCGCTGAATCCCGATAATAAGTTCGTTATATGGATACCTCATTAAATGGAAAAATCACCTTTTAAAGAACTTGAACAACACAAAACAGGTTTTAAATTCAGAAACATTAGGCATAATTAAAGTAGCAACAGAAGCACCTTTATCTTGTAAACTAGTATCTACTATTTATTTTATAAATCTTAACCATAAAAGAAATTTGCATTGAAAGCAAGAATAGAGCAAAACATTATCCAGTGTTACGCTATCATGCTACATGCATTTTCAACTAAAAAAAAAAGCTAAATTTATGCATGAATTGATATTTATTACAAAAGTAATTTTAAACATACATTGTTAACACATGCGTTCTTTACTGATTCCTCTAGAATAACTTTCAGAGAAGGCTGTAAAACATAAAGTAGTGGCTTTGAAAACCAATTCAAGGTCATTTCCCCCATAAAATGCGTTAACAAATTTGAAATGTTCTGAAACATTTGGGAAAATAGGGAAAGTGGCTCTCAATGAAAAGTTCGTTAAATAAAAAATTCACTTAGTTATTTGGAAGTTATTTTACGAAGAAATTTCCATAATGTTCTTGGTTCCTCTAAAAAAAATCGTTAAATAGAGAAATTCGCAAAATGGAAGTTCGTTAAATAGGAGTCCGATTATATATA